AAAAAAAGTGCAAAGGTAGCTACTCCGTCTGCAAGGTATGGCTATAAATGAATGAGAGAAGAGTGAAGCACACAGGAGCTCTCACGCGTCACGTCTGCTCCATACCACCATTGACTGGAAGCCCCCAAGGATTCAGTTTTAATCTCCTGTCAAATGATCATAACACAAAATGCCCCATCAAACAATATGAAACCATTAATTTTGCCATCAAACATCATCAGAAAGGCACAACCGTCAACCCAAACTGCCTCACCCCAGCAGATGCAGCAAGTTTAATACCTCGACTGCATAATGCAGGGTCAACAATGACCCCTGTACCACATCTGTACTTTCTACATATAGAGAGAATGGTGAAATTCAGCCAGAGTCACACCTTGAGCAGCCAGTGTAACAAGGGGCTGCAGGTTTGCCTAAAGTCATTACAATTCATCCTCAGGGGAACATGAATGTCTGAACCTCATCTCAAGTCAGGCCATCCAAGCTGAGATATTTCCATCTGTGGCACAGCATCAAACCTCCACGGCTGCCCGCTGAACCACTCGACCAGAGCAGCTGAACAAAATGTGTTTAATTACATGCTGCTCCATCAAATATAATCTGCAAACTGCTCCAGTGAGCTGATTCACACAGAACTGCCTTGTCCATGTATCGAGCTTTTGTGTTACTCAGAACTGCTCTAATTTTATCTCAAAGTTCCTGTTTCACCAGGAGTTAGAAGACTTGAAATAAGAAGGTGAGAGGTCAAAGCCTTGGTGTACTGACAAGGCAGCTGAGGTGAAGCCAGCGACCTGTAAGAGGAGAAGACACCTCTGCTTGCTGTGTGAGCTCTATTCTCAGACAAACAGTACAGCTGGTCTGTTTGCTGCAGCCAACATGGCCCATCCTGTGTGTAGCTGTCCTCCTCTCTGATGGATCCACACAGCAAACATCTGCTCTCTCTAACACTGGGAGTCGTCCGCTGGCAGAAAGAGCCAGTTTCATCACAGTAACTTCCCTTTTTAATGGCCAGTGTGCAACAATGGAAACCTCACACATGCTCTCTCTAAATACCTACTGGAAAGCCCAGAAATGCACCAGATTTCCTCACTGACAGTGCACTAGAGTGCATGAGTTTACCTCGTGTCAAAACAACCAGCTGCACAAACTCTCATTTCTCAGTGCACCAAAGGCACCAAAGGAGGACTGTTCCTTTTCACTGGTCAGTATTATCATCAGCAGCCAGTGCTTCATGTGTACCATATACTTCGACCTTCAGTGGACCTCATTTTCCCTCGTCTCCCATTTCCTGTCAGCACTTTACTGTCCATGTTTAAATACAGACAGAAATTCACCTGAAAAAGACTAAAAATGTCACAAAAGTTAGTATATAAACAATGTTTTAGTTGCTGTTCAGGGGAGTTTTTGTCTACAGTTTACATATCCATCACAGTTTCCCAAAGTCTAAAAGCACGCTTGTCTTGTTTTGTCCAAAAACCGAAGATATTCGGTTTAATGCGATTAAAAAAATAGAGGGAAAAACTGCAAATTCACAAATAAGAGAAGCTGGAACACACATTTATGTTAAAAGAAACTATCTTACAAATACAGTAATGATCAGTATAGACCTGACATAAAATACTGAGGCTGCAAATGATACCACTTTATCTGCTAATTATTTTCTTCATTAACTGTTTGGTCTAAAAAAAACTTAAAAAAAACTAAAAAAAATTTAAAGCTCATCACAGTATCCTAGAGCTCTAAATAATTTCCTCAAATGTCTTGTTTTGTCCGACCATTGGTCCACGGCAAAAAGAAAAATAAATAAATGTACTATGTAAGAAAAGAAAAGCAGCACATTCTCATTAATAACCTTGAACATGATTTTAACAGTGGATTATCAAGAGTTTGATAACTTTTTGTTCAAGCAACTAATCAAGTAATTTCTGCTACTCTAAAAAAATATTAATGTCACAGACTGACCTAAAGGTGAAAATGTATCCCCAAGGTTACACCATCACTCGTCCTCGTCAGACCACATCAGCAGCTTGTTGCGTTCATTATTTCTCTGGCTCAGTGTAACATGTTTAATCCCCCAGCAAATGGTAACATCATGGTTGCGTAGAGGAGCAGAGTGATGCTGACCGTCCACAGCTGCAAACTAATGTGAAGTAACGTTAGAGGTCCTGTGATTTGGAGTTTTGTTCAAGATCCACAATTTAACTCTATGAATGGGTTTGTTTTAGGTCAAATCAGCCCAGCTGATTAGTCATCTCCTCTGGAGCGTACACACATGCCAGCAGTGCACTGGCTGCCTGCTGTGGGCACTGAGGTGTGTTCAAGTGCAGCTTCTAGCAGACGACAAGGTGACACATCCTTCAGGTCTGATGGGTTGCAGCCCTGAGAAAACTCAACTCTGTAAATAAAACTTACAGTTTCAGGGTGTCTGGAATAAGAGACTGAGACAATAATGCCTCCTGGAAAACACAAGTGCCTTAGTAAACTGAAAAAACTTCACAAATCAACTGGACTAGATTTCTAGGTCGACGACGTTTCACCTCTCATCCAAGAGGCTTCATCAGTTCTGACTGACTGGTGTTGAGCCGGAGATATTTATCCCCCTCGGTGTGGTTTCAGTTCTTGGTGTTTCTGGAGAGAGGGCAATGCTTTTTGAACAGGAGTCACCTGGAGCCAGCATCTGGCAGCCGCCAGTGGCACTGACCTCTAACATGCTTCTGCTTCAGCCTCCCACAGGGGAGTTACTGCTGATCAGATACTTGCAGTAACGAGCAGGTGAACCTAATAAAGTGACCACAGAGTGTAAGTTGTTACACTGCTGATGATTTATGATGCATGTTGTATTTATTATATTATTTTTTATTAATGTTATGTTTATTTCTGCGTTTACTGTTTTTATCACTGAGACAAAGATGTGTTCTGAAGAACCTTTTCAGTGCCTTAATACCAAGAAACACTTCTCAGGACTAAGTGCTGCATCATTCATGCACTGAGGAACATAGTATATACACACACACCAATATCATATGCATATTTCCACACAGACGTCTGCAATAATATCAGTGTTTGCAGTTTAAACTGTCATGGGAAGCAAAAGTAGAAGCACTGTAGCAGTTCATTATCAAACAGTTACCTGGGTCTGTCGTAAAGTGGAGGGAAGAGAAGCCTGAGAGGAAGTCTGAAACCTGAACCTCTCATCATAAAAATCATAAAGCATGCCAGGCTTCCTCAATACTTCTCTAGACAGTGATATGACTGTTGACACAGGACATGCCATGTTAATGCTGGGTGTGACTGCAGCACAGTTAAATGTGGAAATGGGGTCAAACACTTTCCAGGTGCAGCCTGATTAAAACTAACTGTGGCTGCTGACCAAAAAAGTTTCAAGTCTGCAGAGAGGCATGAGTCAGACAATGGTGTGGACCCTGTTCAGGCATTTTAACTACAACATCTGACAGTTTGACCTTCTGATGGGTCTAATGTGAGTGCTACAAGCCTTAACACATGCATGGCCTGAGACAGACCACCTGACCAGCGTCCTTGTGATAACAGCAGCTGTACAGGTAAACTAGAAAGAGACTAGTTCACCATCTCTCATAGCCACAGGGAAGAATGGGAGCTGTCTGGGGTTTGTGCACAGTAACACAACATACTAAATCACCCACTGCATCCTTTAAGATCTAATCCCACACACCCCTGCAGCAACTCGGGTCCCCTCCACACCACTGACTTTACAGACCCGTCCCACTTAACTGTCTGCATTTGTGTTTGTAGAATTTATCATCAGGCATCATCTTAATATTCACTAAATTCAGCCTGCAGACAGGAACACAATCAGTTAAAGTTAAACACACATCAGTTAAAACTATAAATGGTCTCTTTCACTTCTCCAGGCCTTGAAAAGTTCTTCACTTCGCAAGCTGTGATGAGATGCCACAGCAGACATTTATAGGGTCACAAGCTAAAAAGGCTGGAAGCTACATGAAGAAAAGAAAAAAAAAAAAACAAGGGCTGCTCAAAACCGAAAGTGGTGCACTTGTTCACACGCCTCACTGTGAAGCAGGTGATGCTGCAGGCCTGCTGAGCAAACAGAGTTTAAACAGTAAGTAAATTGGTAACGCCCTGATGCATCCTGCTGCTGTGAGGGTCGGTTTAACTGTGGGGTGTCAATCAATCTGTCTCTTTCTGGAGTTTGTGGTGCTGCTGAGCTGTAGATGCAACTCTAATATCCTGTTGACTATCCTGGTGAAATATGATCTGCCCCCCAGCAGAACAACAGCGCCCAAAATGACTTTCAATAGTCACAACTGTTGTCTATCAATTCTGAGACTAATCAATCAAGCAGCTACTCAATTCAGTAACAGTCACAACAGGCTGACGAAAGGTGAGAGTTCGACACGTGGTTGTGATGAGGCTTTTTCACAAAACTGGTGACACGTCGACTGAAACACACTGCTCTTCTCGGTGTTAATAAAAGACCCTTTGCCACTTTACCATTCTATTCTGAGCTGTGTGGCCACCAGCACCAACACTTTACTTCCTTTGACAAGTTATTTATGAAGCTGCATCTCTAAAAGAAATGAAGTTGGTCTTACTGTGAGCCAGTCATTCGATCACGTCAGCTTGAGCAAAGGTCCCCGTCTCCTATATTCTGTGTGCCGTCAGTCGTACCTGAGAAGCTGGCCAAGGCGTGTAGTTTAGTTTTGGAAGACAGTTTGAAAAGCTGCTGTGGGTACGAGAGGCAGCGGACAACAACGGCTCTTTGTCTGCTCTGGCTGTTACAGCATCTCACACGCCGGTGCTCGTCTCTCAGCACATTCAGTGAGATAATGAGTGAGCAGCACAGTCACATGTTTGACTCCCGCTGCACAGAGGAGGATACAGAGACGTCCCAACCCTCAGGTCCCATCTGTACTAAACCACTGTCAGGAACAGCACAGCTTCTGAAACGGAGTGAGTGAGAAATATCTCAACCCACTTGTGACGAACTGGCTGATTTTGTCACTAACCTCACCTCAAGAGCCAACAGCTTCCTGTTCCAGCGGTCTTCTTTTCTAGTTTCACTGCTGCTGTTGTTTAGCGTCACCGGGACCAAAACCCTGTTCTGAATTCCACCAGTGATGGACTCACACAAACCACATCTTAACGAAGACAACACGAAATTTCACCAGGAGGTTCAGGCCTTTCATTTTCTGTAGGCAGGAACAACTAAGCAGCGAATCAGACAGAGTGTTTACGTTCAGGCCAAGCTCATTTCAGCTACAACACCCACATCTGCTCTGCAAGGTAAAAGTGAGAAGGAAGCGAGTCATAAACTGAAAGTGAAAGTCTGTATTTTATATTTAGCATTTATAACCTGTGTATAAACATGTAACAGTAGTTTATATCACCAAGTAATGCAGCTGTAAGCAGATGTTAGTGTTTATTCATTATTTTAACTAGGGTTAATTTTTGCAACTAATGTGAACAGTTTAATGTGTTAAAAAATTATGGTATTATGCATCCGTTTTTTAACTTCCTGTGGCTATATACCAATGCTTCCCCCACTTCCTGAAGCTAATGCAAACTCACACTAGTTATGGTGAAGAACAACGAAAAATTCTACTTTAAAAAATGACCAGATGGCTCGTTGGAAAAAAAACTAACGTGTGCACATCCTGCAAAGCCACATTTCATTATCACCGAAGTAATTCATCTTTGATGCATCACCTGAGAGTGAAACATCCAGGTGCTACAGCTTAAACATCAGGGACACTCCACCAGGCTGTGTTACTACAATGTGGTGCTCGAGGTGGGTCATTATCCATCGTCACTATGCTTTACCTAAGTGGACAGCTAAAACCTGTCACCCTGTTAAAACAGTAGAGGGTGGCTGTTCATAATGCAGAGCCCTCTATTCGTCTTTTTGGCTTCTGTTCAGCCTTTTGTGAAGTCACTGAAATTCAATTTGTGGTATTTTTCCTGAGAAAGAACAACAATAGGTCACAAACTGAAGTCTAATTTAAAATTATGCAATTAAACAAATATGATTTAAAACCAACTTCCTTTGCATTTATTCTGCGTTCATTTGGTATTTAGACTAGAATGACTGAGTTCACAAGTTTGCATGATTAATGACAGTAAAATTAGCAATTCATTTGTTAATTTTTAAAAATTGATTCACAGCCCTAATTTTAGTTCCTCCTGTGGAAACAGACGTGGATGCTGCTGTACTGACAATGTAGTGAATCGCAGCTGGAATAAAATGTCTTCATCGGGGGGTTAAAGCTGTTGATAAAAGTGAAAGTGCTAAAACTGATGATGATGGTCTGTGCTGTGCTGACAGTGTGTCACACTGAGGGACAACCTGCACAGCCTGGTTTGCACGTGGCCCTACAGAAATCTTGCTTTTGTAGTTCAGTCTTTCTACAAAGTTACAAACACTAAATATAATCTAGATCTGACCATTTAGGCCATAATGCAAAGTCCTACATCCAAAGTGATCTAATACACGGTTGTTGCTTGCACGTGTTTGACTGGTTCATGATGATGTGTTTCAGCAAAAGCTGAATTCAGCTTCTTTCCAGATGACCTGTGTCAAACAGCGGCTGATCTAGTCACTCTGTTGTCCTGGAGCGAGTTAAGCGTACTTAGGCCGGGCCTCTGTGCCGACCAGCTCAGAAACGCTAACACCAGGTTCAGCTATGCAAAGCCTCCTCAGGGGACACTGGGACAGTGTGTGGTGCTCCCTCCTGGGAACCAGCAGCACCCAACTGTCTGCAGTAAACACTGACCATCCTCCAGGGATCGGAGGATGACTCGTCTGCAGCCGACCTGGGTTGTTGCACACAGACGCAGAGTTGCAACAACCACAAGCTGCTGAAGGAGACCTGAGGATCCGGCGTCTAAATTTAGTGGGTCGGCTCACGTCACACACAGCTGCACTGGGAGGACACACAGCTGGGCTCAAAATTATTCATATGTGACGATGCCACGCTCATGACATAAGCATCGACCAGAGGAGTAAACAAACAAACACAGCACAGATCTACTAGCTTGATAACTGATTCTTTGGCTTCATGTTCTCAAACTTGATGCTTTTAGTTTAATGTTACATTAGTAGGTACATTTAATCCTTTTGCATTTTGGGCTGTTAGACAAACAAAGCAAGAGGATGGAGGAAATTACACGTTTTTTTTTATTCTTACAGTTTTCTGATGTCATAGTTGTTTAAACAATACTTATATTTGATAAACAATTAAAAGTTCTGTTAGCTCATTAGTTGTAGCCCTGGTCTACATAGTTTTTATTAAAATAACATTTTTGCTGTTCGATATGTTTATGCCTGCAACTAAAGATTTTTTTATGATCAATAAAAATAATCTGTTGCACTTTTTATTGTTTTACTATCTTTTGGCTGTTTTCTGGAATTTTATGAACAAAATAATGAATAGAAAAAATAAAATAGTTGAATGAAAGTAACTGTTAGCTGCGGCCCTGATACATCTCAGTATATGAACTGTATCCTGTGGAGGCGGAGGGCACGCAGGCAGGTGAGTGTACAGACAGCTGCAGACACATTTCAGTGGACATCCTGAAGCTGGATCTCAGGACAAACACTGTGAGCATGTCTCAAGTGGCAGGAGGACATTTGCGACATCAGCAGTAAACTAGAGGGTGATTCACACAGAGGATGGAGACTACTGACTGCTGTAATTCTTCACAAAGGTCAGTGGATGGAAATCTTCCTGAACGTCGACACTGATTCCACCGACAGCCACAACTCGACCTCAGTACGTTTCCACATGCAAACAGCAGGGCACAGACACCAATACGATGGACTGACAATCACCACAACTTACAACTGTGATCTCAATGCAACATTAAAGAACAGGCCAGTGAGAACGAGTTGCTAGCACCCTTAGGCTGTTTCAAAGCTGTGAAAAAATGTAGCCCTCTCCATTCATTTCTATGGGTGACTACGTTCACTGCAGCCGGCACTGCTACAGCAGGGAGCTCCGGCAAAACAATGTAACCCAGTGGGGCGAAAAAGTTTGATCTGGTTCAACTGTCACCGTACCACACAGTGACATCATCCGGCAAAGGCACTGTGTTGACCAATCATGTGCGGGGGATGATTGGGACACGCACATCCATGGGGAGAGGACTCTTTGTTCACCTTGTTAGCATTCACTGCTACTCACTGTCAAATCTGGGCCACAGTTAACACACCATAACAACACGCCATGCATTTTCCTTAGTACTAGATGTTAAATGATGTTTTTATCTATTAGTGCCGACACACTGGTGGTAAAATTGGTGCTAAGGTAGAGTCACTATGTTAGCAGCATGGCTAACCAAAACACAACGAACATTCACAGGCTGGAAGCATGACCTGTTCATAACGTGGCCGTAACACAACTACAACACTCCCCCTGCAGCCCCTCACCCCCCAACCAACGCAGCCCTGTGCGTTAAAACACAACAGCAGCTTTTTTGCCGGATCAGTGTGAACGCCCACACACAGAACCGGATTATCCTCTTGAGAGGCCCCAGGGCAAACATTTGTTGGGTTCCTGGGGCCTCCACAGTGCATGATGAAACTGGGGTGAACAAAATAAGAGCAGCACAAACAAGTATTTTGATAATCAAATAACATTTTAGTTAAAGTTTCCAGCACCTGAAATGTGATGACTTGGTGCTTTTCTTGGTCACACGACATGACAATGAATTATCACACCCTGTTCTGTGAAAAATAAGCAGTTTTCCTGTTTTCTAGCATTTTAAAGTCCAAACAATTGATAAGTTAAGCGACTTTTCAATTAACTGTCTGACTACAGGTTGAAAACAATCACTGGCTGCAGCATCCACTGACCTCTGCTGTCACATCTCTTTTATTTGTATTGTGCAAATACAAAAACTAAGCTATACTGTGCTCAACTTTTATGGTAATGCAGTTAAATTTCTAAAAATATCTGAATAAATCCTTTATCTTTCTGAATAAAAGACAGATTTCTTTATTGTGGGGCCTGCAGTAAGGCTACCATAACACTGCAGAAAGAAAAGTGTGTGAGCGAGCTCAGTGGAGCAGATGGTGACAGAGGACGGAAGGCGGGTCCAAGCCAACACGACTGAGGGCGACGGACACACAAACCCACCACACTGTTACCTCATTCTGCTGATGACTCCATGCAGAGTGAAGTACAACAGAGTGAGTTTAGTGACAACAACAGCACATACAGACTCCTGAGCTGCTGCTCTTGATTGCAACTGCCATCTTGGTACAGGGATGCCAGTTTGGTTTTGGCATTTCTTCTATTAGACCCTTCAAAACCAACTAAAACAATAAGAACCAGGCAGAACCCCCGATGCAGTAAGGTGGTGAGACAGACAATTAAAAGGGCAGGGGTTAGAAGTCGCAGCACCACAACAAGTGATGACCAAAGTCAAAGCTGGGTTTCCCACAGAATGATCCACAGCAACAGCCCAAACCCAGTGATATTCAATTCACTATAAATGTAGGAGAATGAAAAGCAGAAAGTTTTCTTTAAGGGCATGAAATTCATCAAACATTTGGCTTTTTGTTTAAATGAATGCCTTACATGGTGCGTGGCTTATGAAAACAGTTGCTGATTAATTTTCTCCCATTGTAATCAATATATTGAATCGATGCAGCTCAAGCAGTCCCAGAGCACAAGGTTTTTAATTTCCTGTCATACTGGACAAAGTAGTAAATCTCCATGTTGAACCTTTTACTTTAAAAATGCATGAAAAGATGAATCAACTAATAAATGATTTGACTAATCATTATGCTCTAGTTCGAACCAACCCCTACTACTGTAACAGACAGCAACAGCAGGGTGCTGCCTCGTTTTAACCAAAATAAAACCATAATAATCTGCTTATTGGTTGTTCTCTTTATAAACCGCAACCACCAAGGAAACCAGACATGAAGAGAAATCATCTGTTAGCAAACAGTATCGATCGCCTCTCAGTCCTGACACCATCAACTCTACAGAGCTTCTACACTTTTCGCTGCAATGCTAGTTTTCAGATGACGGTGTGGATCAGCTGTCAGCCCGCAGCCAATGAGCTCTCTGTGCTCCTGCTGCTTTTTATTTATTAATGAGTCTCTCACTGGGTTTTCTTCTGTTTTCCTGTTGCTTTCTTGAACAAACCTGATCAAACAATCATCCCATTAATCAATCAGTGTCATTAGAAAATTAAGCTGCAAATATTTCATTAATCAATTTGTTTCTTTTTCAAGCACAACTCTAAGTACAACCATTGTTCAATGAAGCATAACTATCAGAACATCTCTGTGTTCTAACCAATTTCCCGACAAAAAAAGGCAAATACACAGACTTCACAAAACTCTTTAGGAAAACCTGATCTATTTTTCTCTATTCTCACATTTTATAGCTCAAACAATTAGTGGTGAAGATCGATGGGAGATTAAACATTGATGCAGCTCTTTAATTATGATTAGCGAGACTCTGTTACATGAGATTTTTCCCCTCCTGTTCAGGAAAGAGGCCGCCCACTTCCAATGTGATGAAAACTGAAAACAGTTACACAACTTGGTACACACCCTTTAGAAAACATTCATAGCATAAAAAAAACCAGAAACGTCTGTGGGTGTGTCCTCAGAGACCTGTGAACCCTGAGGAGCCGCCGTCTGTCCAAAAGCCTGACAGGAGACTGTGAAGGTAGAGCAGCGAGTCTGCAGCAGTGCCGAGGGTCTCGATGCATTTAGAGCTGCCACAGTTAGTCGACTCTAACAGTCAACAACAATCTGCTGTTTAACTGTGTGAAAGTCAGTATTTGCTGGTTCAAACTTAACTGTGATGCTTGATGCTTCTCTTTTTCATATCTGAGTATAACCTGTTGTTTGATCTGAGTATAACCTGAGGATTTTAAGATATTGGACTTATTGTTAAATAGAACAAGCAAACTAAATACAGACAATGACAAATGAAAGTGGCCTCCTCCAGGATGACAGAGCCCCCCCATCCGCAGGACATGAGGGGTCACTGACTAGTCTGATGAGGATGACCATGATGTGAATCAGATGCTGTAGCCTTCCCAGTCACCAGGTCTCAGCCCAGGTGAACAGCTATGGGAGATGTTGGAGCAACGTGTTAGACAGCGTCTCCACCATCGTCATCAAAACACCACAAGGAAACATCTGGTGGAAGAACAGTGTTCATTCCTCCAGGAGGGTTCAGAGACTTGAAGAGTCAGTGCCAAGGTGAAGCTGTTCTGGTCAGAAGTTCATGGCTGAGTGAACCACCTGTATTTTCTTTGCATATACAAGATGATGACAATGAAGCAGATGTGCATTTTAAACATCTGTGCATTTAACCTTCTGCTGCTGCAGGCTTTGCATTAACCTGATGCAGTACAGTGTTCAATGTGTTACCATGTGCGACCTAGCACTGTGACCTTTACCCTGTGAAACTGCAGTCACGTTAACGTGCATGAGGTGCACGTCAGTGCCGCCTGTTCTCTGAGAAAATAAGTTTCTTTGTATAAACCTTTCCTCTGAGACCCAGGCTAGTCTCTGAAATTCTCCCGTGCATAGTCTTCACTCTGCAGCGACAAATTCTTTAAAAGAGGTGACACGTTCTGACAGGTTTATCCCAGATGCCCTGCCAACACAAATATGTTTTTACAGTGGGTCTGGTACTGCTTTGTATGGAAGCTCATTTCCGCCAGTACAAAAAACATTTTTGGATCTACAAAGTCATAATTATGAGATAAAAAGTCGAAATTTAGACTTAGTAAGTCAAAATTATGAGATAAAAAGTCGAAATTTCGACTTAGTAAGTCATAATTATGAGATAAAAAGTCAACATTTCGACTTAGTAAGTCATAATTATGAGATAAAAAGTCAACATTTCGACTTAGTAAGTCATAATTATGAGATAAAAAGTCAAAATTTCGACTTACCTAAGTCATAATTATGAGATTTTTTAACATTTAACTTCAAGCATTTCTCAAGGCAACATTTCAGTGAATTTTCCAAGGAGATGGATTGTGACTACATTGATGATTACTTTAAGCGTGGCTTTACCACAGAGGAAATACTTCATTTACTCTCTGATTCTCACGGGATTGTACTAAGCAAGCGCACCCTTGAGAGGATTTTAAGCAAGAAGCAGCTCTGGCGTCGAAAGAACAAAACCAGTGTGGCTGATGTGGCAGCTTTCATTGAACAGCAACAGGAAACATCTGGTCAGTCTCATGGTTATAGATGGATGCACCAAAAATGTTGGCTGCATGGAATTGTAACTGACAGAGAAACTGTTCGAATTCTGCTCTGTTTATTGGATGGTGAAGGTGTTGATCTGAGGTCGAGAAATAGACTGCGAAAGCGTGTTTATCACAGCTGTGGTCCAAACTATGTCTGGCACATTGATGGCTATGATAAGCTTAAGCCATTTGGAATTGCAATAAGTGGATGCATTGATGGGTTTTCAAGAAAGATGATCTGGCTTGAAGCTTACAAAACAAACAATGACCCAAAGATCATTGCAGGCTACTACATGGATGCTGTAATCAGCGCAGGTGGATGTCCTGCCAGAGTCAGACTTGACTTAGGAACAGAAAATGGATATGTTGCTGAGATGCAGAGGTTTTTGCATTTTTCTGAGACTCAAGCTGAAAGAGACAGTGTAACCTTTGGTCCAAGCACTGGAAATCAGCGGATTGAACGATGGTGGCTGATCTTGCGCAGTCAATGTGTTCAGTTTTGGATTGACCTCTTTGACAAACTAAGAGCAGATGGCTACTTCTCAGACAACTTCTTGGACAAGTCCTTGGTCCAGTTCTGCTTTCTTCAAACAATACAGGTATGTGCCCAGCAGTATAACGTTTTGTAAGAGCCCCAACTGACCATCATTTATTAAAGTGTCCTGTGCATATAATTGTTCAAATCTAAATAATACATACTGCAAATGTAACAAATAATAAAGCTGCACAAGCATGTGGACTGTGGTACAGATTCTATATCAAATAAAAATGATGCCTCATTTGCCCTGTGTATAGATCATAACACAATGAACTTTTTTTTTTTTAATTTTGTTGTCTGATTAAAAAAATAGCTATGATAATGCAGCCACAACAAAAGGTGGACTGCACTGCATTTTATGGTAGTGTTACTGTGGCAACTCATCAAATTGAGTACAGAATGATTTCACTGAGGCGGCAGTTTCCAATTACCAAATATTTGTGTACTGAATTTGCCTAAATATGATCTGCCACCCTAGGAAGAACTTAATGAGGTTGTATCAACTTGGAACAACCACAGAGTTCGTCAAGTACACAATTCACGATCACCTCATGGACGCCCATCCATCTTGCATGCTGTCCCTCAACTGTACGGAGGCAGAGAGTGTTTGCACCATGTGGACCTTGAGAAGGTTCAAATCTGCCTGGATGAGTGCATGTTTAAGGACTTCCCATGTGATGAAGACGTGTTCCATGTCTGCGTGGACTTAATGTCAGAGTATAATATGAAACTATCTGCTCTGAGGTAGTATTCAAAATAGTAAACTTCATCTAAAACAAGATCACTCAGAGAGCACATGTACCTCTGCCAAGGAACAACATTCACTCACACAAATGGGTCCCTTGTGAAAAATAAGATCCAGAACAACACAAATGTGTTAAACATTAACTGCACATTTATCCACTTAAACACAAACTTCAACATTTATTTAGTAATTATAACTCACTATGTCAAACAGTTAATTTTGACTCAGGTTCTTGGTAAAATCTAGCAACTGCAATCCATAAAAACATCTCAGCCAAACTCTACCTTCACAGACTATTCAGGGTGAAAGTTATTTGTTACATTTTGATATACCGTACCACTTTTAAGAATATGTTGGTATCGTAAATGAACTTGAACAAAAACTGAGCATGAAAAAGTAGCAGACAAATTACCAAATATATTGAGGCCATGTTTAACTGTCTCCTGCCGTAGAACTTCTTTCATAGGTAAAACCTCTGCAAATTCTACAGAGCTGAAGTCTGAACATTTGATGGCACTCCAATTGTCGCTCTGATGCTGACACATACTTAAAAAATCTGTCCACAAGATGACTCTCCACAGAGCCAAAAACAGCTTGCTCCAGAAGTACAGGTGACAGTTTTACAGGAAGGTACAGCTCTTTTTGCCAGTCAAATTTGATTATTCAGCCTATACTTTCCCACTCTTGTTTACCAAAATCATGACGTAGATATGGCACCTTAAAGCTATTTCCCATAGTGCACTGCTCATAAAAATCATTCCAGAATTCACTGACTTATTTATTCAAAGGTACTGAAATGTTTACTAAAATACTCAGTGTTTTGAAGTTAATTTCAGGATAATTCTTAAAATGTTGAACTTAGTTATTTTGCTCTGAGGTAGTATTCAAAATAGTAAACTTCATCTAAAACAAGATCACTCAGAGAGCACATGTACCTCTGCCAAGGAACAACATTCACTCACACAAATGGGTCCCTTGTGAAAAATAAGATCCAGAACAACACAAATGTGTTAAACATTAACTGCACATTTATCCACCTTGACAGAGGAGACCTGACACTGGTCTGGAGACACAGCCCTGACAAGGCCCAGCTGGGCTCTGGGTGATAGTCTGTCCTCTCAGCTGTCATCCAGCTGTACAGTATATCCGATTATTAAAGAAGAAAATGACAAGTATTATAATTATTTTGCCTCTGTCTCTACTGTATTTCACTTTGTTTAGCCATTAGCAGATTTTAATTCCTGTCTAAATTTAGTCAAGAAAATTGGTATAATTTGGGTTTTAAAGATTGTATTTCACTTTGTTGTCACTCTGAAAATTACAGATGACTTCATGTGCATGAGCCACATGAAGATAAATTCAGGGTGCACATACAACAGCCCAGGGTCCGCAGGAGACCTCTGAAGCTGTTGGAGCTGCAGTGCAACAACCAGGCCCGAGCAGCTGCTGGGGATTTAAACCTGCACCGCTTCATACCCCCAGGTTCCATTATCGGACAAGACTGCTCTGCTTAAATGTTTAATTTACTTCCAAAGACGCTGGTGCCTGTGAACAAGCCTCTTGTAAACATCGTTAAAACTGCCCGTGTTCCGTGTCTCCTGGGCCAGTTTACAAAGTGACAGACGGTGGTCGCTGCAGCTGCAACGCAATCCAACCTCGATAGTTCCAATGTCGGACGCGAGCCTCCTCAGGCTCCGTGTCTGATCCACTTTGGTGCAGTTAGCGGTGTATTGCAACTTAAACGTGCAATTAATTTACCCCAGAAACAAACTATTCCCGTCCCACGCTAGCGCGGCTTAAGTCGGTAGCGACAAGCAATGACGCTTATTTCAAATTCTTAAACATTTACGAGTCGTTGGCTAGTGAACGTTAAAGCTGTTGACAGACGCGATAAAAACGGGTGAAAATACACGGAGCCCGCACTTTTTAAAGGTCTGGATCTGTAGGTAAAATATTTCGGGGAGAAACCGAAAGACACGAATCGAAAGAAAGCGTGTCCGATAACAGGCGCACAGACGTTCCCGTTAAACGCCATCTCTTCGGCTAGCTCTCCGTGTTAGCTAGCTAACGGGGCGGCTGCTTTGAGACGTTACCATTACCCGGGTCTGTTTATACGGTAAATAAACTCGGTAAAGACGTGATAATCTGTGTCGTACCTTGTTGTGTCTGCTGGTTTTTCCCACAGATAACTGGGAGGATCATGTTTAGGTCATTGTCTCACATGTGACGTCCATGTCTGCTCAGCCGCAGCGGTGTCAAACTACAAACAACAGGCCAACAAACAACAACCTTCCGGTCACAGCGCTCAAAATAAAAGCCTCGTTAAGAACAAAATGATCAAGTATCGCTGGATTACCGCTGTATTTGTCAAAATACTGCAAATGTACATCAATTAAAGGAATTTTTTAAAATCTACCTTCACTGAACCTTAAACGGGTTCACCTACCAGCGATCATTGGTGTAGCTTTCTGTAGAAGTTGTAGTAAAAGTAATGAGTAGTGGAAAAAGTACTCATACCTTTTACTTAAGTAGTAATACTGTAAAAATACTCTGTAGCAAGTAAAGGTCTTGCACGCAGAATGTTACTTAAGTAAAATTACAAAATTATAAGCATCAAAATATAGACTTACTTGTAGCAAAAGTAAAAGCAGTCATTGTGCAAACTGGCACATTTTACAGGTGAAGCTGTTTTAACTACCTTATATACTGTAGACCTTCTTATAATGCAAAGTACTTTACATCCTGCTGGGCAGCTGGTGAATTTACCACTGGGGATAAAGTGTGTCTCCTCTCTCTCCATCCATCTATATGCCACCACTACGTGTCACTGTGTCCCCTCTCTCTCCCTGTACCTTTCTGCAGGCATCCCTGGTGCTGGAACTTTATGTTTCTGATGACTTTGTAAAGTGTCTTGAGACGACATATGTTGTGATTTGGCGCTTTACAAACACAACTGAACTGAGGATTCTACTGTGTTTGAGCTTCATAAAGCCACATGTTAAGGCGGAAGTGTTGCACTGAGGTGCATACCTAATCAAGTGGCCAGTGAGTGCATGCACACGCTTTCTGTACAAAAATAACAAAGGGAAGTGAGGGGTGCAAGAATAAGTGTTTGGGTTGTTTACTTAACCGCCACCATTTAAAACATACGACATTAAGAAACAAATAGCCAAAACTTGAATTCAAGTTTACCTAAGCCAGCAGTTCTCAAACCTTTTCTGTCATTCCCCACTTTTTTGAGGTTCTACATTCTGCCAGTTTGCTCTGAAAGAAGTCGAGTGGCTTATTGATGTGACTGGGGTGTGTTGTCTCTAAGTGTCTTAATTTGTTGGGTCTCATTCTGTCAGCTACCAGCGGTTTAAAACAAAACTCACATGCGTCCCTCCTCTGCCCCCACCGTGAATCCAAGAGCAAGATAGGCCTCATTATATTTTCTTTAAGGCTAATGCCCGCTACACACACTTCTGCGTTCCGCTGCAATTAACGTGCCGACCTTAAATAATTTTCGTACAATGGTTCCACTTTTTTCTTCTGGTCCCATCATGTTGTTTTAATTGACATGTATTGATGACCTCTTTGTTTGTGTGTGGTCGTTTTGTTTTGAGTGGATGATCTTAATTGTTAATAAAGCAAACTGTAGCAATAATGAAGATAGGCAGAAAACAAGACAAATTTCCTTCAGTTGGTTGCGCCCCACCTGCCTTGTCTTTATTCCCCACTAGCGGGGCGCGCCCCACACTTTGAGGACCCCTGACATAAGTAAACATCCAGCAGTTTACACTGGGTTGATTTAGTAGCTTCTCTGGAGTTCATGCGAAAATGTTAAAAACAACCACAACAATTCTTATTCGAACAACAGTTTTTATTTATTTATTTTTGTTTGCTTTTGTTCTAATTATGAAAAAGATAACTTCTGCTTTTATTCTGAAATCAGCTCACGTTGATTTCCGGTGTTTTGCAGTGACCTCTCCTGCAGCTGCAGCTGTCAGACACACTGACCTGGGCGAATGAATGAATGCTGTTTACGCATATTAAAATAGCGTGTGCATGTGTGTGTGTGTTCTAATCAAGGATCAGTTGTCATCACAACCCTGCACTATAAATCCGACTGTGCCAAAGGTACAAATACTGTCCAATATTTGTCCTGTACTGTATGTTAATGCTGTACTGTGCATCACCTTAATAGAGACACTTTTCTTTTCACTGCAGCAGCACCAAGTCCAGAGTTTACCTGCTAATAAGTTCTTTATATATCACAAAGCAGTTTTGGTATAAAACCCCCCTGCAGCTGCCGGGACAGTGCTTCCTCCTCTGAGCTGTGGCAGAGACATAAAGAGGAAGTTCTGTAATTCTGGCAGATCCAGTTATCATCATGTACTCACATGCCTGACATCTCAGCTTCAGACAAACACACACAGAGCCCTGTGAAGTCCGCTTTAAAATGTGAGATTGTCCTTAAATGTTTTGCAGCTTTCTGTCTTTTCTCTACTCTTTATGTTTTATGCAAAATATTGGATCATTCACCAGTTACTGAAACCACACGAAACAACTGAGATGGAGACAACTACACACTGATGCTTTTTTAAAAACCAGTTTGGAAACTAGTGGTTTACCTTTACCAGTGTGCAGTATCTTACACTTACAGTACATGTATCTTACTTTCACTTATGTAAACTCTTAACCTGTAAAGTAGTTACAAAATGGCCTAAGATGGAAGTACAAGAACCTCAGAACAGAGTACAGCACCCTATGTAGTACATGCTGTATCAACACACTGTACTGCAGTATATTTATCTAAATACTTCACTGCAGTACACCTACTGTAAATAAATACAGCATTATGAATGACAGACTGCAGCTGTTCCAGGTTGCATCAGTTTATTTCCTGGAAAAGAAGGTGAAAGTACAGTCTCTTTAAAAATCTCTCCTGTTAGCTTCAGAAGCACCGATGGTTGGAAAACATAATATGTACAACACACTCAACATTCCCTGGTTATTACAAT